CTCGCTAATTACACATTTCGAGATCATAAACGAAGAAAGGATACTTCTGTTGTTCAGCTGAGGAAGGATGAGTTGAATTACTGTTTTATATGAGCTGTTTAAAACTTTATTGATCCTGAATTTCATACTTGTTATTTATTCTCCAGGATGGCTTTGTGAAGTGCATGACAGCAGTTGGAACCCCAGATTACATCAGCCCTGAAGTACTGGAAATGCAAGGCACTGAAGGAGTATATGGACGTGAAGTCGATTGGTGGGCTGTGGGTATATTCGTGTACGAGATGTTGGTAGGCGAAACCCCATTTTACGCTGATTCACTTGTGGGGACATATACTCGGATCAGAAACCATGCAACAGAGCTCAAGTTAGTTTTTCGGTTTTTTTAAAAAGTTTATTTAAATTCAAACTAGTGGAAAGTAAGCTGTATTTTTTTCGACCATGAACTCATTGTTTTGGCCATTTCATTAAGTTGTATGCATTCCCATTCAGGGGCAGCTGGATCTCGTCAGTGTGATGGTTGCAACAGAAGTATTAGAAACATGCAGTAGTGCAGTTAAAGAGATGAGAGGGAAAAAAGTATTGACGCAGTTTTTAACAGCACATTCATTTAACAGATTCATATATCAGTTACTGCGTTTGTTAATGTTCATTTTATTGCTGCTTGAATGCTTTTTCATATTGATCAGCAGATGAAGAGAAATTCTGTTGGTTGTCATGGACTGAATAGAGTCATTTGTCAGTAATAAGGGACTGTAAATTTAAGTGTGAATTATTTTTAGCTTCCCGGAGGATGTAGAGATGTCCGAACATGCGAAAGATATGATACGTGCATTTTTATCCAGTTCAGAAAAACGGCTTGGCAAGGACGGCGTTGAAAGCATAAAGCAACACCCATTTTTCCTGAATGATGAATGGACTTTTGAAACCATTCGGCAAGGTACGGTACGAGTTTTATGACGAGTATCACATTCTGACAGTGATCTAGCCATTTACATGTTTTATCGTTATAGCTGTACCACCAGTGATTCCGGAACTGAAGAGTGACGATGACGCATCGCATTTCGATGATATCGAAGCAAAGGAACCTGATCCGGCTGAATTTTTTCAAATCCCGAAATCTTTTGCTGGCACCCAACTTCCTTTTGTTGGCTTTACGTATTCGAACGAAACTGGGTACGTCTGTTTTTCAGTTTTATTGAAGTTTAGGCGTAGTATTTGTGGGCAGTTTATATATCACTTGTTGCTTCGTTTCGCACGTTTCTCTTCGTTGGTACAGTAGTTGATCTTCCCTCTTATAATAAGAAAAAATCGTATTTCAGGCCTATAGCCAGTATACAAAAGATGCTAGATTCGGCAACATTGTCAGATGGCGGTGCCGTGCAAGTTCAGGCTGCTTTATGTCAGCTGAATCATATTTCGGAATCGGAGCTTGAGGTACATCCCTGTATTACTTCGATTCGGGAATTATCTCAGTTCGTCATTTTGCA